TAATTTCTAATAAATTTTTATAATTATATTTTTTAAAATTTAAAGAAAAAATAAATTAAATATATTTAAACAAAAAGTGAAAAACAAATATTTGTTGTAAAAAAATAATATTTTTAGCCATATGATACGATGTCCCCTTAAATCCGCCCCAACCTCTCCCGTGCTCTCTCACATCCAGATTCTAAATTGGTTTGGAAGAATCTCCTCTTTGTTTTGTGGAGGGAACGCTGCGCTTTTTCCGCTTTCTTGCTTGAGCCTCATCGTTCTTCATCAACTGAAATGGTAGGAAAATGGAGGAGAGGGCTGGGTTTGATCTCCTCAATTCTTCTCATCTTTGTCATGGCAGCTTTGGTTTCGGCTGATCGGGGTTTAATCAAGCTCATTCCGGCCGTGGCGAGCGAGGACATGGATGAGTCGAGCTATTTCATGAAGGTTTTGGGTTTATTGAAGCGAGCTGATAGATCTCGGTATCAGCATGTTTGGCCGGTAATGTGATCTTTAGGTTTTGGATTTTGTACAGGATTCGATTTGTCGCCTTGTTGAATGATTCTGTTTCTGAACTGATGTGTTTTTTCTTCCAATAGCCATTGAAATTCGGATGGCAAATCGTAGTTGGTTCAGTGATTGGATTCTTTGGAGCAGCATTAGGGAGCGTGGGAGGTGTCGGTGGTGGAGGGATTTTTGTTCCCATGCTCGCTTTGATCATTGGGTTTGATCCTAAATCTTCTACTGCAATGTCGAAATGTAAGAGATCTTATGCCTATTGAGATTTGTACTTATAAGTAAGAATTTAATGATCACTATTATTGGTATCTAGTACCCTTTTCCCCGTATATATTGTCCAATCTGTGACGAAACAGTGGCAACTCGTTTTTTGAAAATTGAATTATTGCAGCAGGCTTAGGTACGAGTCGTGTTTACGTAAGTTGATTGTTAATTTGGTCGGATTCTGAATTTTCATGCAAGGCGTCAACCATTAAAATGAGGCAGACTTGCTCCAAGGGCCTGTTTGGTTGCAAGATTTAACCATTACTTACTCAGGATTTATGCTGAATTTCATTTAATATTTTTTGCAGCGACATAGATCTTTACTTCTTCTTAAAACTCATTTCCTCTCATTTTAAGTTAAATCTTGGATTTAGTAAATCTTGGTGAAGTGGGATTTAAGAGATCTACACCTTTTTCTCCTTACCCTGCCTCTTAATCTCCTTCATGTAAACCATGAAGCTTAAACATATCTGCCAAGCTGTTTGTTAGGATTTAGCCAGATTTAACATCTAATTTGCCTAACAGTTTTCCACTCATATCTGCCAAGCTATTTAGTACCAAATTAGATCCTACTTGTAGCTGCCAATCCTTAATAGTTTTCTTTTTTAAATCAATTTTTGTCTTTAATGTAGATAATTACAGTTACATCTCCTTGTGAATCTTGTTCATTATGTGAAATGATATAAATGCTCATTTCATTTATTTTTGTGGCCAGGTATGATCACAGGTGCCGCCGCTTCGACTGTTTACTATAATCTGAGGCTGAGGCATCCTACTCTAGATATACCGCTCATTGACTATGATCTTGCTTTGCTTTTCCAACCTATGCTCATGCTTGGGATTAGCATCGGGGTCATCTTCAATGTAGTTTTTCCTGATTGGATGGTTACAGTTCTTCTGATCATCCTCTTCTTAGGTTATTCATTATTTGGCATTAACATTCATTGCGTTTCTGATGAAGTTAGAAAGTAAATACTAATGGATATGAATTGGATTTTGCAGTTACCTCTACCAAGGCATGTATAAAGGGTGTTGAGACATGGAAGAAGGAAACATTGTTGAAGAAGGTAAGGTTTCTTCCATTTTTTCTTCTGTCATAAGTGATTAGTAAAGAATATCTTTACTTATTCGTGCCTGCGCATTTTAATCTCAGAATGCAGCGAAAAACCTCGACTCTAATAGTAAGTAGCTCATGCTTTCAGCATTAAAGCTCCGCCTGTGTCTATGGCTTCGTTTGGACAGTTTTTTTACTGCTTCTTAAAAGCTGCTTTAAGAAGCCATTAAGAAAGCCATCTCAAACAAAGCCTATATCAAAAAATTCTCTCTGCACATTTTGATTTTCTATTCATCTTTTCAACAGGTGAGAGTGAAGAAGTAGAATACAGGCCACTTCCTGGTGGTCTAGGTAACAATGCTCAAAGGGAAGTTAAGTCATCTTCTGAAGAGGAGGTACTTGGGCTGCATAAACTGCATTATAAAATACATGTTGATAGTTTATTAAGGCTAATGTTGTACGATGCTCACAGTTTCCAATCTTTGACAATGTCTCCTGGAAGGAGCTCGGCCTTCTATTATTTGTCTGGATATCCTTTCTAACACTTCAGATTTCAAAAGTGAGCAATTTCTGCAGGTATCTTTTCGTTGCCATTTTTTATCTGCAACTCTTAATCTATTGACATTGCTTGTGTAAACTTTATACAGAACCATACAGGAACTTGTTCGGTTTGGTATTGGGTGCTGAATTTTCTACAGGTATAGAATGACTTGGTTCTGCTTTTCCCAGTTTTGTATGTATGTTATGAAAGTATATAAATGATTTTATAAGTGTTTCTATGTAGATTCCAGTTGCTGTTGGTGTCAGTTTATATGAAGCTGTTAGTCTGTACAAAGGGAGAAGAGTGATCGCATCAAAGGGAGAAGTAGTTACAGAGTGGAAGATTCATCAGCTTGTAATATACTGCTTATTTGGTGTATTTGCTGGCATAGTTGGAGGATTGCTTGGTTTAGGAGGAGGATTTGTTCTCGGCCCTCTTTTCCTGGAGTTAGGAATTCCACCTCAGGTTCGTTCCTCATTTCATTTTTCCTGATTTCCAGTTACATTTTGATTAGGGCTATAGATCCTTCCATATTTCCAGATCTCAAATCATTACATAAGTTAATAACTTGCTTTCTTCAAATTTCAAGAGTAAATATGAGAATTAGAGCTAAATAAATTTGAAAAAATCAACAAGAAATTTGAACACAAAATCAACAAACAATCATAATTTATTATGCACAAGTAGATTATCATTGGTGCCAAACTTGAACAAAATTAATAACACTTGCAAGTCAATAATAAGATATGTGAAAAAAAATTATAGATTAAGGTAAAAAGTTACCAAAGTAAGAAATTGCCATACACGAGGGACAGATTATTAAGTGTCATGAATGGAGGTCAATTTAGACGCGTCACGTCATCCAATGCATTGTAAGAAGTTACCAAAGTAAGAAATTCAGCTCTCACGATCATACGGGGGAGAGATTATTCTGTGCGGAGTCTGGATGCCTCTGGAGGACAACCTGATGTGTCGCGTCATCTAATGCATTGTGTATTAGGTGACGTGGCACGTCCTGATTGGCCTCAGGACGTGTCGGTACGCCGCACATAAAAATGATCAGAGCAAGGTCAGCATAATCCGATCCAGATAACCATCAAGTCACCATTTAAATCTTATCCCAAAGTCAGAATTGCTCAAAGCACGTGAATCATGCGTAAACGCAACAAAAATGAAAGAACAGCATACCCGCAAACAAAACCCGCTGGTAGCGACAAAGCTACATTCCTGTATTGCTCATGCATACCTCCATCCCTTTCTCACCAATATTTATCGTTCTGAACTTTCTAAATTTCAAAATTTTGTAAAAGCATTTTTAATCATCACGGCTCTCTTACAACAGCTCTTTCCTTTCAAATATGAAAGTTCTATGAACATTTTCAAAGGAGAATTACAATCTCATGCAGAAAATCTAAGGAATTTGCACAGAACTCCCTATAGTTTTCTCAGAGGGCAAAATCTTCTAAAATTTTAGAGCAAAGCTTAATTTTGCAAATTACAAATTACAAATTACAAAAACATCATTTTACAAATTACGGCCAGATTATCACCCTTTTCCGTATAGTAATAGTATCTATGTGGCTAATTATAAATAACACATATCTGTCAGTGCGAAGTAGCGGCAACATTATAGAGCAGAATTTATGAGGAAAACAAAGTTTGGTACAACCATCATTGTTTGTTTATTGTTTATTGTTTATTGTTTTTTTTTTTTTTTTCACAGGTGTCAAGTGCTACGGCAACCTTTGCTATGACGTTTTCTGCTTCGATGTCCGTCGTCGAATACTACCTTTTACGTCGTTTCCCGGTCCCGTATGGTAAGATATCAATATCCTAACATAAATGGCTGCTCAAAACAAAATTTTTGGGTATTTAACTTGATCAAATTTGAGGAATTTTTTTTTTATCGTAAATTGTTTTAAAGTTTTTAGATTGGTTTTAGGGGGTTTTTGGTATCGGATTTGGCATAAGTTTTAAGTAGGATTTAATTTGAATCCAGCCAAACATATTTCCACGCGATGTAAATCCCGTGAATTCGTAAATATGGGATTTATGGATTTACGGCATGAATTCCGATAAATCCAGGTGAATCCTAATCCCATGCTTCGGTGGATTTAATGCGATTTATTGTTGCTCGAAGTTCCTTCCTGCAACGCCCGTGTCGCGAAGCTGCGTGAACTTTTAATCTACAATTGTTTTCGGCGGATTTATGGGATTTGGCCAAAGAAGCTTGCGAATGGGAGAAAGTTACCTTCACAACCAACAAGCTCCCATTGTTGCTTTGCTTACGAACAAAATGTCGCAACTTCCGATCCGACAAGAAGGGAAAGTCGTCGAAGGAGCGAAGTCTAACAGCCACAAAGGAGTCGAAGAAGCGACATGTGCAATCTCCACACCTCCTACGAAGCAATGAAGCCGAACAACAACGATGAAAAAAGAAGATGAAAGGCAAACCCTAGACGCCTCTAGGTTATTATTGATTAACTTATTTAATATAATTTAAAATACGAATAAATAAGTAAATTAATTAAACAACTTGGTAAATTTTTAATTATCTTCTTCACACTTAAATCTCTAACTGCCATAAAAATCTTAAAATGTATTACCAAACAGCTTCTCAGGATTTAACAAAATTTAACATTTATCATATCAAACACTTTTCAGAATTTTCGTCAATGTTTTTTCTCCAGTTTTCTTTAACTGAGACTTTGGAATGTGCAGCTTTATACTTCGCTGCCGTGGCCACAGTTGCGGCTTTCATTGGCCAACACGTTGTGAGAAAGATCATACTTATTCTGGGGAGAGCTTCTATCATCATCTTCATACTGGCTTTTACAATCTTTATAAGTGCTATTTCTTTAGGTATCTCTTTCTTATTACTTTGTACAGTTGATGATTTTTTGTTTATTATTCTTTCATCTTATTAAATTTAATGATAGGCGGGGTTGGTATTTCGCGGATGATCCAGAAGCTTCGACATCAAGAGTACATGGGATTTGAAAACCTTTGCTTTGAATACTAACAGGTCGCTATGCATCAATTGTATTATCTATTGATAAGTTTCTATTAGATATTTATTTCATAATTATAGGATTTTAATCTGTTAGGTTTCATTTGGTTAAGATATTTTTTTGTAAGGGTCTTTACGTAGGTGTTGAATGAAGGGATTGGAGGGAAGCAAATAAGTTTTGCTTGGGGTTTGATTAGAAACATAATTAATATGAATTTTTAAATTAAATATGTTTATTTTGATTTTATTTCTCAGTGATAGTTTATAAAAAAATGTTTCAATTTTCTCAATTAAACTAATGTAAATATTTATTTTTGAAGTGCGCAAGTGAGCTAAAGACTGTTCATTAATCTTCTGATAAACTCTCGAAGTTTAAACTAACATTAATTCATGCATAACAGAGTTCAAATGGAATTAATTAGTTCTTTTCTTCATTGTGTTTTTTTTTTATTAATTATTTTTTATTTTGCTTCATTGTACATTTATTTCCACATATCAGGTAATAATTTATAATGCGAATAAGAAAATTATAGATATGAATATATAAAATCAAATGTATAATTTTTAATAAAAATAATATTAACTATTAAGTATAATATATAAAATTCATAATTAAAAAAGATTAATTTGTTATCTTAAATAATATGCATATACCAACAGCTCAAATTTATAGCCCTTCTCAATTTTTTCCTGGGAAAATTTTTTTTGAGTAAAAATTATTTTATGCCAATCAAAATGCACCACATTTGTGGCTGTATGCACATACTTTTAATAGAAATTTATATGAAACTTTTTGGAGAAAGAAAATATGGAAGAATGTAACCAATGGCTTTATTATAGCATATAAAAATCAGAAGCTGTTTAGAATGAAATGGCTAAATACAGCTAAAAATACAACGAATAGACACCATAAAACTTAAAAAAGGCCACATAAGAGAATAATTCTTATCATTCTAATCAGAAATTTAATAAAAAATATACAAAGCAATTTTTAAAAGAAATAAATACGAATCGAGTTACAAGAGCAAATCATACTGTCAAAATAGGTGCCCTGGTTAAGTTGAGGTCAAACCTGATTTAACCCGAGTTTAAACAGGTTGACACTATGTTAACCCATTTTTATAAATGAATCACAATTGCCAACCCAGACCTAACTTGCAAAATAACAACTTAGGCGAGCCAACCAAGCTGGCTCAACAAGGCGGCAACCGGCCAAGCCAAGGAACTTTTATTTGGTCCGGTCACCTAACGTAGATCTAAATTCGGACACCAGTAAAATAGTGCCACGTCTTCTTACTCTTTAACGCGCGGCCAGACAATCAGAACCGAAAAAAACCCGGGATTGCTTGGTATTGCTCAATATTGCAAGGTATTGGTAGATTTTACTCTTCAATAACGAGATATACCATTTTGTGAAAATCAATACCTAGTAATACCGAGTTTTTCTTAGTATAGCTCAATATTGATCTTTATAGAGAAGATATTTCTTATTTTTGCAAAGCAATACCGAACAATACGTGAACATAGCAATTACGGGTTCCGATCCAATTTCGGGTCGTCAGGCCATGCGGTAAAAAGTGAGAAGACGTGGCGAAATATTAATAATTGTTCCAAGCCAAGGGGGTGCCACAAGGCACCTACAACATCAATTAGGGACCCATGGCTTGGAACCAACAGAAGGCTTGCGCCTACCAAACTCAAATCCTGGTCAACTTCAACTTGACACAAGTTGGTCATATTTTTGAACCCAAGCTCAACCCATCTAACAAACAGATTGACACAAACACAAAATTTTCAGGTCGATCCGGGTTTTGTATAAATGTAAAGCATAAATTTCACCAAAGACCATTGTATTGCTAAAGGGCAACAACTTAGATTTTTAAATGGGAAATCAAAATAGAGAAAATCATAATGCAAAGCTAGGCTGGGAAAAAAATCTTAAAGAACATGGCTGACAAAAATAGCCATAGCACTAGCATTTTGCCATACCATCACAACAATTAAAATTATAACACATCAATAACCGCCACGATATAGAATATCATAATACAAATAAAATTACAACAATAATTCTAACAAATATGTTAATATTATTAATTTTTAAAATGACATAACAAGTCATGAAAAGAAATTCATCCACAATTACTGTAATTATAAGATAATTACTTATTGCAAAAAAACATCGTGAGAATAATTAAAGTGTGTATCCTAACATCATTCATTTTTTATGAAAAGGATCATGCTAATCGCCTAACACTTAGGCTTGGTTTGGTTGGGCGTTTCTAAGGCATTTTTCATCTTACAACTGAAAAATAAATAAATTTTAATCGTTTGGCAAAACTGCTTCTCTCAAAGACGTTGTTAATAACATTGTTTTGAGACGAAACATCACTGCTCTTCTGCAACTCCTTTCCATGTGCGTTCTCCGTTTTACACTTGCGACAAATCTACTTTACCATGCAGTTGCTCGTCTTCTTCATCAGGACGCCTTCGATTGTTCGTCCCAGGCTCAGATCGAGGCCACCTAGATGATGTCGATCTCGATTAGCAGGACTTTGAAGAAAATGAATAGGATGATGATTCATATATCTGATTTGAAGAGGATTTGGGCGTTCAAGGAACTGATTGTGAATGAGCATTAAGCTTCTAGCAGGTGTGTAACTCCTAGAAGAATAGCCGTTGATGACACATTTTCTATAAAGGAGTGCACATCAGGTGTTCGAGCATATTCTCAAGCAAAATTTTAGCAAACCTAGCATCCCGCAACCACCTCAGGGTCGTCATACGGTGTTTGGAAAGAGCTATGATTGATTGCTGACAATATCTCACTGCAATTATGATTACTAAAATTCTTCTTAGTTACAAGCAGCAGATCTAAATGGAACTCGTGATGCAAACTTCTTTTGGATCCATGCATTTTAATTTTCCTTTATACTTGCAGCTCCATTTTTGCTGTTTATTTGGGATTAGAAAAAATTGCAGAAGAGATGTAGCATAACTGTGTTATCTATGTAGAGTGGATTTGTTAATTAAATATATTTGAGTTTAATATATGAATGATAGTTTCGTCATTTTCCATTATATAGAAATACCATTATATAGAACCTTATTTCTGAAACTCCATTCTCTCTACAACCGCTTTAAAACAAACTTTTTCTAGAACATTGACCAACCAAACAAGGCCTTAAAGACGAAATGGAGAGGGCAATTGGCTAATCAAGTCCACCATAACCAAATCTGATTCAATTGAATAATTTTGAGGCCTACCATAATCCTATTCCAATTTCATTTGGAACAACTTTCTTATTAATTTCAACAACAAACTTTTTAAAACAAAACCTTTTTTAATAAAAAAATTACACTAAAAGGAAAAAACTATTCGTACATGTGAGTGAGCGCTATATCTATATTTGTACACACTATTTACACAATATACACTTATAATACAAACAATTCTCCCCTTCTAGACTCCATAAAGAATAATTTCTCCCTGACCAAAACCTAAATCTCCACCATCTTCAGCTTATCGATTGGCTCTTCTGAGCAATCAAACTCAAAATTTAGATAACTGCAACTTTAGAAATTTAAGGTAATAGAATAGATCACTTAATCCACCTAGCTGATGATTATCATGTTCATGTTAATTTTGCCTATACAATCTTCGTTTCTTCATTGATTCAATTGCATACTCTATTTCTGCATTTTGTTTTTGATATAGAAACAGAATTGGAGGCAGCCACATTAATCAATCACCTCACAAAAGCCTCTTATTGCTTACCAAAGATGAAACATCAAGATTAAACTTAGTAGGCTTGACATATAAGATGACAAAATACTTGAATCATATTTATAGAACACACAAACTACTCACAAACAAGCCAAATTACTTTGCAATATTGATCTAATAATAATATGTAGATATAATTTAGAACGTTTTAATCATAATATGAATGCTCTTATTGACAAACTTCTTATAATTTTATCTGATTTCCTTAGGCTAAAATTTTATTTAATTTTTTTAAGCATCAGCAAAATGTCACTGGTGTTGTAAGATTTCTAAGCAACATTTTGATCACAGCACTGATTCGATCATAATTCATGGTATGTAAGAAAAATTACAGAAACAACCAAACAAATCAAACGAAATTACTTAATATTGAAGAAGTTAAGCAATGTGAGAGGAAAGGTCATCAGATAGGAGCGAAAGACTTTTTAAAGATGTAATCATATTTTCATTATGATTATCATTTGAACTATGCATTACTCATCACGCGACCTTTTAAAGAATCGGCTGATGCTAAATCAGAGAATAAAAATTCATGAAAAAAGTAACAGTCTATATCACGAGTAGTTCTTCTTACTGAAATAATTTGAGATAAATAAGGGATGATCGATCGGCCTCATATTAAAAATACTCAACAGGATTTTCAGACATATGCTTGTCAATAACAGATTTAATCATCGGCCGATAGAGCTTTATATATATTCAGAAATTACTAAAAAACGAATGAATCTGATGCAACGAAAGCAAAAGAAATGAGTTGACACACCAGATTCCAAACAATAAATCAGAAAAGAATCGAATGACTCAGAATATGGGTGGTGATATATCAGGATGGTCGGCAAGGCGTACTCGCCATTACGACGAACGAGACCTTATATTCATCAAATCATCATCGTCATCAAACAAATTATAAATAAATAACAAAATGGAGAAAGAAAGAAAGAAAGATCTAGTTTAAGAACAAAAGAAGATAAAAAATCCTACGAGAAGAGAAGGTATAGGAAGAAAACACCGTAACTAGGCAAGCTCGGCGCCATCATCATCTGAGAGACCTGGATCTGTGAACCGAAGTCTAGTGGGGGATATTTATAGAGGTTTTAGGAGGTTTTTAGGGTTAGGGTTTTAGGAGGTCTTCATCAAGTCCGTCCGTCATCAAACAAATTATAAATAAATAACAAAATTTTCCATACGCACACAAACTCATCCTATATCTATATATATATGCAGAGAGAGAGAGACTCATCCTACATAAAGAAAAACGTTTTTTTTTTCTTTCTATGGACTATATTATCATCATAGTTTCTCAAATTAAAATCAACAGCATAGCATGTAAGTAACAGCTACGAAAAATTGTAATGAATAGTTAGTTTACAGCAAGTTGTCATTAAAACAAATTATGGAGTTAAAAAAACTTCAACGCCAAACCAAACAAAAAATGGCTTGAAGCCTAAAGACATCTATTGTATTCAAAATAGAACACCAGACTTACCAGCAGATAGTTCATATAATACACAATAATCTAAAAGGGGCACGAATCTTACAAGCTCTTTAAGATTTTGGCTGTCAAAAAGGTTGTCAAAAACTCACTGCTTAACCTAAAAACTAATTAAATACCTTTTAAGTAATCAGGTAAATATCTTAACTCACATTAGCAATTGGGAGGATAGTTCTTAAAGCTCAGCTTCTGCTGGTCCTCATTCTATCTGTTGGCAACATTCTTGAATCCAGCGTTGTAAGTACCTGGGGCATTGACATTCCCCCAGATACAACAATCTCTGTTAAAAAAAAAAGACCAAATAAAATATTTTGATGTAATTTATATCAAGATAATAAGACAGAATATTCATAATTATAGGACAACTTCAATCTTAGAAGACATTTAAATTTTGGGATTTTTACATACATAACACTTAAATCTATTGAAAATAAATATTTAACACCTAAACTTTTATATTTACTAATATTCCACCTAAAATCCTTCTTTTAATCAATTCTAACATTCCGTTTAAACTTTCCGTCAAAAATCACTATCAACGACTGTCTTCTCCATCAATGGCATTCTTTCACAGTGAATACAAGTATCTCATCGCTTCAATGGAAAGGTGGAATGGAAGGAAAAGGGAAGTTTAGGTGGTATATTAATAAATATAGAAGTTTAGGTGTTAAATATGTATTTTTAATAGTTTTAGGTGTTATGTATGTAAAAATCTCTTAAATTTTTTGTTAAGATAATTATTCTTCATGTTCCTTTTTATTTATGTTTAAATGTCATCTAATTTTCAGTGTTATCTTATAATTTCGAACATTTCGTCTTGAATCTTGAGAAAAAAAGTGCATTAGGGAGCATTAAGATTTCCTGATAATTTTTTTTCCAGTGTTAGGGACTAGTAGCTAGAAAACCGAACTGTCTTGCTAGAGCAGAAGGAAATTATTACTCACCGATTCCTTCACGGACCGACAAATTTGGTCGGATGACATCCCTAGAATTTATCAGAAATATATCGCCAATGTAAAGGTGATTGGTTGGAACATACACACAGTAGAGCTCCTCATCAACAGAATAATTCTGTCATAGTATCAGAGAATCTTTTCACAATAAAATTTCTTATCAGCAAAAGGCACTTTAGCATATAAAGGATGTGGAAGACTAGTTATCAGGAAATTAAAGAGAAAAATGAATCTGCAAGCATAAAAATTATTGGACCAGTCAACATCAACTGCCATGACTTTGAGTTCAAATAAATAATCATGGACAAGTCCTACCATTAAAGTTCAAAAACTCATTAGGAAATAGACCTAATGTTCAGTGTTACTAGATAAATCATGCAAATTTCATATGTACAACAACAAAACATCAAGCATTTATCCCACTACGGGGGATCGGCTACATAAATCCTTGTTTACTATTGTGTCGTGTTAAAAGTCAAATTATCATTTAAATCTAATTAAAATATCATTTTTAATATTTTCTAACCAAGTCTATTTAGGTCTACCTCTACCTATCTTAACATAGGTCAAATCTAATACATCTCTCCTAACCGGGTCATTAAAAGGAATTTTTATTGCGTCCTCCCACCTGACGTAGAGCTACATCAGGTAGCCTATGATATGCCGCCACGTGCACTTACTTTTTACCGCGCGGCCCGACGACCCGACTTGGACCGAATCCGGGATTACTATGTTCGAGTATTGCTCGGTATTTGCTCGGTATTGCTAGGTATTACTCGGTATTGCTTGACAATAACAAGAAATATCGCTCTATGAAGACCAATACCGAGCAATATCGAGCAATTCCGAATAATACCTAAAAGAACTCGGTATTGGTCTTCACGGAATAGTATTTTTCATTTTTGTCGAGCAAAATCGACCAATACCTAGTAATACCGAGTTACGCAAACTCCCGGGTCCGTTACGGGTCGGGTCGTCGAGCCGCGCGGTCAAGAGTAAGAACACGTGGCGACATATCATAGGCTACCTGATGTAGCTCTACGTCGGGTGGGAGGACGCAATAAAAATTCCATTAAAAGGGCCAACATTTTATGTGACCAAACCATCTAAGGACACTCTCTAATCTTATATGCCATTGGAGCTACTAAAAACTTTTCACTTATATGACCGTTTCACATTCTGTCTCTAAGAGAAAATTACTCATCCACCTGAGCATCCCCATCTTTGCAACACTTACTTTTATGGTTCTCTTTTAATGACCAACATTCTGCGCTACAAAGCATTGTAGGTCTCACCTCCATTTTATATAATTTTCCTTTAAACTTGAGGGGTACTTCATTCATCCACTTCAACCATCCAACTTGAATTCTACTAATAATATCTCAATCTATTTCACCTTCACTCTAAACGTGAGATAATTAACGACTTTTTGAAAAATAAATTGATCTTCATGCTCATTGTTTTTTTCATATTTTAGTCTGATTTAAGTGTGGCCACACTGTTAAATAATTCTTTCTATTTAGAAGAAGCAAGTATATTTAGCGTCTGCTTGCTGCTGTATGACTTAAGGACGGTTTTATTAAAATATGACACTACATTTAGTTAAAATTATAAACAGTACCATTACCCCAATATTCCACGGCTAAAACTGCACTATAATTTTACCAAGTTTAATTCCAAGCCATCCATACAATCTACTGCAATTTATGCCTAAATTCGTCAGCTTTAATTTCATCTTTAAAAATTTTATATTGGAGTAATTCTCACACTGCAACGAATACTGCAATGGAATTATAATTCTTTATTATTATATGATAAAATAGTAACATCATTTTTTTTTGGTGAATAGAAACTAAATAACTAATTAATCCTGTGACAACAGAAATTTACCATCATAAATATGATAAAATCGTAACAAAACCCGTGGGAATAGACCACAAAGAAAATATAAAATTATGACAACAATGGAATTTCAAAAGAATAGGCACCAAGAATCACAATTAGCCCTGAAATTAAGTACTTGGGTGCTACAGGCCCCCAATAAAAAACCTTTCATATTTAACAAAAAAATGCGCAATAATTTTTCCCAGGTGGCCTTAAATTCTATGTCTTGCATAGTATGCACTGCAATTTGATGCTTAAATTTAGCATTCCAGCTCCAATTTCAACCATATATAAAAATACATGGATATATAGGTTCATATATACAGATACATCAATATATAAATAAATAAATTCAAATATAGACTTAACTATAATTTCTATTAATACTTAGATACATATTTGGGTTTCATAGTGTTAGGTAATACACACTACATCTCTTTTTAAACTTGGCTATAATTATTTATCTTTGGTCATTGCAAAGTTTTAATCATACAAGTGTCCAACACCACCCCCAATATTTAGTTCTAGAATTTAAAAAAAAAAAAAGACTTTTAAAGCTATATCAAGAAGACAGATGAAGTCCCTAAATAAATAATCATATTTAAGTATGTAGTCATTATTAAACAAAGATGAATTATTATTTTAATCTTGATAAATCCTTCTAAAATTCTTATAAGTGGTATACTTCATTTTTATATGATTAAAATCAAGCAATTTAAACAGTATTTCATGTTATATCTTAGAAATCTTGCTTAAAGCATTAATAACTTTACTTTTAGTTCCAACAATGTTAAGGAAAAAATATTCTTATAAAACTAAACCCAGTAAGCAAAGCTATCTCAAATTAATAATATTGTATATATATATATATATATAATTTTAATTAAAGCAATGCTTATTTTCCGGAAAAAAAAACAATGTTGTCGTCCCAACTCCCAAGCAACTCTATGCGTCCCAACTCCCAACATATATTATAATGCATTTTATATATTATTTTAATTAACATATGTATTCATTAACATTTATTTTAATATATTATAATACATATTATATTATAGATTATTTTAATTAATAAATAATTAACGAGCCGGCTCAAGCTCGAACTCGAGCTCGTTTATTAAGCGAGCTCGAGCTCGACTCGTGAGCTCGATAAGCTCGGCTCGCAAGCTCATAAAAGAGTCGAACTCGAGCCAGATCACGAGCCGGCTCGGCTCACTTACACCCCTAATACAAAAGTACCAAAAATGTCCAAATTTAAAGAGTTGAGGGACCATTTGATCCTTCTCTCTCTCTCTCTCTCTCATGCCTTAAGACTTGCAAGTCATGTTAATACATTTATGATTTATTTTAAAAACAATCAGACGCAAAAGTTCAGATTTCCATGCCGGGAAATTTGATGACAGTACCTGAAGAATAACAGCAGAAGTGATGAACCCAATTGCATATTCCCCAATCCTCGGATGCCTTATGATGACCACCTCTTTGAAAGCTTGAGAGTTCTGGTCTGTATGCAGAGAAACAATTAGAAAACATACAAAATCAGACAACATAAAGAAATTTAAAACAAATTACCAGGTGAAATAGCAGAGCTAATTTGTTTAGAGGCATTGTATATGTGACGAACAAAAGGCATCCGCTTTATAAACCACTCGCCAAGACCAAGGATAGATGCGCCAAGCCATGATGACATGAATATGCCAACCAAGAAAATGAATGTCATGGAAGTAACAAAACCAAGACCTAGAAAAGAAAATTATCCAAGTTTAAATTTATAGGCAAAAGTAGGCGAGAGGTAAAATTATAGTCTGCACTAGAAATTTAAGAGCAAGTATTCGCTTTATTTTGATCGAATTGCAGAAGAGTTTCTTCCCTGCAACCACCAGCATCAAACGCATTCATAATTTAAGTAATATATAATAAAATTAAAAAGAGGAAATGAACTTATTTATTAATATAATATACTTTCAAAGTTAAAATTTATTATTCAAGACACATTTCGAATACATGCTTATTAATCTTTTTTATTACTTTTAATTAGACAAGTAAATTGTGTGCTTGACAAGTGTTGGGTACATGTCAGGCATTTGAACATATATTGCATGCGTCAAACACGACATAATTCATTATTACAGAGTGTCAATGCATCATAGTTCATAACCCTCGATCTTCTGACCTATATATTTTGTGGTGACATAAAAGCATACTTCAATATCAAAATTAGAATTAGAGGCAGCCATCTTAAGTTGCTGAGGTGAGGCAAGTTGGTCAAGAATAAGATATTTCAAGGCGCTTTGAGTTAAATCTATGAATCATGAGTTATATCAATGTTGACCAATGTAGCAGGAGGCGGAGAGTGCTAGCCTCGTTCGCGCCTAGGCCAGTTCGGCGTAGACCGGCTGGATTGGTCCAATGGACCGGTCTAACAAAAAGCTAGAATTTTTATTCATCAAATCATCATCATACAATGGAAAAGACCTCTATATATAAACCTTAATGATAAAAGAAAACTAAAGACTCAAATGCCCTTGAGGCTACAATAAGAACTCACTACCCATAAGATAAAATAGGAAAAGCTGAAATGCAAAAATAAACAAGACATAAAATATATCAAAAGCAGAGGCTCCGAATTGTAGCCGTCGTTCTACGATTCTTTCGATGATACACATGTCAAAATCTCTGGCTAATGTCCTCATCAATATCAATGTTGACCAAACAAAAATAAAAAGGTATCAGCAAGCATACTCAACAATGTAGCTATGATAAAGACTCACAAGGGAAGCTATTGCTAAGGAAAGTGGCCATTTTATAATGATATAAGGCCATCAATTGCATTATGAACTGCATTGAAGGTATCAAAGTTGATGTAATGAGAATGATTTGCACCCTCACCAACTTCATTGCTCCAGGAGGTACCTTCAATGATATCATTGGTGGATTTGGAAATAGTGATGAAAAAGTGGTCAACAAACTTGGTCGGTATGATGAAAGTGAAGTCCATAGTGTGGTGTAGAAAGCAATGCCTTTCTAGCTCGTAGGCTGCCAGAGAACTCCTAAAGTAGGGGGTAAATTAAGTCATTGGAATCAACGGCTAAATTGTCAACAAGTTCTTCGCATTACTTAAAGAGGATCAATGTATGGCATTAGTGGCATCCTTGAAAACAAAGAGGTCATCATCGTTAGTATTATTATAGCTATTTAGGGTCGGTATTATTAGTCATAATATTTTATTAGTTCTTATTTAAAGTTACTTCATGTGTTAAGCCTAATCCAAGGGGGATGTTTGAGGTGTCAAACCTAATCTAAAGAGGGTGGAGTCTAGTTTGTTTCTATTTTGCATATTCTTTCCCTCTTATCTCTTCAAAATATTTTATCTACACAAGAACAACTGCGAAGATGCTAAACATCCTAGTTTTAGCAGGCAATGAACACGTGTTGGCTTTGTTCCATGCTGAGCAGTGTTATGTCAACGACAATAGCATTAACAATGAAGGCCTCATAAACAACTCCCTTATAGCAATGTTTGCAACTAAAAGAAGGAGAAAAATTAAAAAAGAAAACAAGGGGAACAAGTAATCGTAATCTATAGTTTCCATGATACCATGTTTTATTTTCTCCATGCCTTTCGCATGTCGATCTCCCTCTCTTACGCACTCTTCCTCTCTCTTGCACTCAAAACTTATTCCACTTGCTCTAAATCTCCCACGCACTCAAGGACCACTCACCTAACTCCGCCCTCATTCAATCTTGAAGATCCTTAACAAAACTCGCGACGCTCACTTGCTTACTCTCTCTTCCTTCACCTTTGAGTAACTCCTAATCTCACATTTTCCTATCCCCAACAAAACATGGTCACCCACTTCTACAAACTCTCACCCCTACTAATCTCACTCAAACTTGCATCCCTCTCTTAATTCTCCTCCCGTATATAGGCTTAGCTAGGGATGCAAACAAGTCGAGTCGATCTCAAGCCAGGGGGTGTTCGAGTCGAGCTCGACTGCTAAATACCGAGTTCGAGCTCGACTCATCTCACGAAACGAGTCGAGTCGAGCGGCTTGTCGAGTGGCTGCCTCGTACGCGAATCCCTTTCCCGCTTTCGCGAATCCCGCTCCCGCAATCGCGCTCCCTCTCCCGCACCCGCTCGCTGTCCAGCTCTCGCAAACGCGACCCGCTCCCGCTCTCGCGAAGCCTGCTCCTCTTACGCGAGCTACTCGACGAACCAAACCCAGTGTCCAAGCTAGAGCTCGTTTAGCGTTCGAGCTCGAACTCGTGTTCGAGCTCGACTTGCGAGCTCGATAAGCTCAACTCGTCGAGCCCATTAACGAGTCGAGCCGGCTGGACTCGGTTGCACCCCTAGGCCAAGCCTTGCACTCCTACAACCACAATTACATCAACTTCAAGATTGCATGTACAACATCTCCAATTAGTAAATCTCTCGTGGTTGTCACTATCTCTACCATGCCTTCTCTCTTCTATCGTGATTCATGACAACCTCTCTCTCACTTGCCATAGCATCAATATCTTCTCAACTCTAAGGAAAACTTCTTTGGCGTTTTGAGTGTCGTCGCTCAATCAATATGATACGTTGTGAAAGTAAAAATAGAAAACAACAATATAAAAACTGCAGTAAAACCAAAATGGTGGCTGATTTTTTATTAAAACTTCAATAAGAGAAAACAAGATACAAGTGATCTATAATTCGAGAGGATGATTGACTCTCCCAATAAACCTAGACACCATTAGAAAGCCCTCAAAGAAAAGAACTATATCAAAAACCCACAAAACTCATTAATACATTATCTAAACCCTAGACGACTCCCCCTTAAATAGCCCTAGTCACCATAACACAAATAGAACATTTCTAAACAATTTACATTATTTAGGAAATCTTCTAAAACAATTAAACTTAATTCAGGAAATTTTCCTAAATAATTAAATATTTCATAAATAGGAAAAAATCTGATTTATGAAATCTTTTTAAACAATTCAACATAATTTAGGAAATATTCCTAAACAATTATATACTTCCTAAATAATTAAAAAATAATTTAGAAAATCTTTCTAAGCAATTAAACATGATTTAAGAAACATTCTTAAGCAATATAAACATACTTAAAAAACCTTCCTAAATAGTTCCCTCATAATTAGGAACCTTCCTAAACAACTCCCCTTGATTGGGAACCTTCTAAATATTTTCTCCTTGGCCCTCCTGGTGTATCAACCAAAGAGCCATCTTGTCCTCAAGGTAAGAGAAAGGAAACTGTCTCCTGATCATCTGTTTTAACAATAAAATCTGCTTCCTATTGAGAACCACTTAGCACATGATCCAATTTTATATCCCTCATTATCTGCTCGTGCTTCACTCTAGAAAATATACCATCTTTCAACAGTTTAACATCTTTGCCAATGCCTTCAATTTTTATCCACTTGCTTCAATCATCCCAGTCATCAACTATTTTTTTCCACTCAAAGCCAGAAAGATTAAAAAGAAATGGCGCAAAAAACCAGGTGACAACAAAGAACCACATGGATGTATTAAGAAGCATAAAGATTGTTGAATCAATAGTTGCAGATCCATAGATCTGATAAACAAATAGCGACAGCATAAGTTCCAGACCCTTTCTAAAATGACTTTTAGAGTACATCTTGTAGTTCTCTGTAAACTTTACATGTCGCTCAAGGAATCCTCATCCAGTAGCTCTATATTTTGCTCTGCCATGTAAGATTGTCCATCCAAAGTAAGAGGATTTTGTTCCAAGTAAGAATGTAAAGAACAATAAGTACAAGTGAAGTTGCATGATGATTATGTCGCCTAATATAGATTTGAATTCCCTTTTCAGCCTAATATCAATAGACCAAGCTGGACGACAGATTGAGATGCCATAGCAGCCTTCAGAGGATTATTTCCTGTCATTAGTGCCCGCTTCATAATGGTAGACTCAAGCCCACTAAATGACAAGTAAGACTTGCCTTAGAGGAAAAGGTGGAGTATGATCATTGAGCTGACATAGAACCCAACAGTTGTGAAGTAGTAAGAAAGCATGCAGAAGAAGTCAAATCAGTAGCCCAAGTTATAGATATCTCTACTAAATATTTGTTCTCCATTTCTACAAACAACCTTTTCTTCAAACAGGGAAATCTGGTTGAGTCCAACATCACGACCATTCTCAACCTGAATATACTCATGGTGGGTGATATTTCCTTATCTTAATGTCGAGTTGAATCCTGCAAATATATCCTCATTTAGGTTGATTCCACGAGAAGTCTTACTTATGTCTCCTCTAATGATGTGAAAAATCCTGTCAAATACATATGCATGCATGTATTGGAAGCATACCTTCAGTGGAATAGCCAGACCTCTTTGTTTAATTATCACAAAACCTGTTTCTTGGTTTGACATGAACCATCTCAAATATGAAATATTTGTAAAAATATGCCCACGTACAACAAGAATGGTTGGTGGGGGCAGTCCATGATCTTCATTGGATTCCTTTAAAAGATTCCTCATTTTTAAAGCCTCTTCCAAATGGTTATATTGTTCATATCAATTGCCTGAAGAGCATCCCCTCTGGTAAAGACAATTGTATGGTATTGATTTTTTGGCTCACCTTCACCAATCTTTGCTACTCTAGGTAATTTGATGCAGTAGATTTCTTGATCAACACCATTAGATTGGCTTTACAAGTTTATTTCTTTGATCTCTTAATTCACAACTTTCCCTTTGTCGATCTTTTTATCCTCGA